GGTCATGTGCTCATGACTTGAATTTGAGTTTTCATGCTTCTTCTTTTATTTATTTTTGCATGTCATTCATTTCGAAGTTTTTGAAATAATCTATACTGAAAAGAATAAAAAAATTTCTTGGAAGTCTTTTATCGATATTGGTATTTTTTTTTCCTGGGAGATTCGGACTTTACTATCTTATTTTCCTGATGAGACTTCGTTTTTGGTATTTCAGGCTGCTGTTGCAGCTGACAAAAGGCCGACGAATGGATTCGGAAATGGAGGCGGCGGTGCTTACGGCGCCCCTCAGGCTGCTGGAAGCAGCGGCGGCGGCTACTCAAACGGTGGCGCCAGTGCGGGAGGAAATGGATACGCTGGCACGGGATTGAATGGCGCCAATGGTGGTGGTGGTGCCAACGGATACTCCAACGGTGGTTCCAGTGGTAGCGCCACTAATGGGTACTCCAACGGTGGTTCCAATAATGGTGACGCCAACGGATACTCCAATGGTGGCTCCAATGGAGGCAATGGATACTCAAATGGCGCCTCCAATGGGTGAGATGGAAACTCGTTATAATATTTAAAATATCTGTGCAAATTTTTAGAAATTTTGTTCAATTTTTTTTAAACGTAAAAGTATCCAAACTGAGAACCTCTGAAAGTTTGGAATCAGCATTCGTACATACGAGTATATCACCGATTTTTTTTTGCATTATCCATATGTGCAAAAATCTTCGTTGTGGTGAATTCACAAAGAAAATACACACTGAAGGATTTCATGCATATTTTTTGCACGAGACACGCAACCATCGAAATAAACTTTTGCCAAACAAATTTGCGCACAAAAAATTACGCAAGCAGAACAACTTTTCCCTTTGAAGCGCTGATCTTTCATTTAATTATATAATATGTTGCATAATCCTAAATTACAGTACTTCGAATGATGATGGTTTGATCTTCTCAAGGAGAATTCAGTGACACGCTTGTCCCTGATTTTTAGCAGAACCCCTAAAACGAATCAAACCCAGCAAATGGAAATTTTGAAAACGAATCTAAATCATAGTGGTAATATATATTTCTTGTACTTTCTCAAATTGAGCTATCGATATTTTTTTGCCACGTGAGACAGCTGGCCTTCGGAAGCAAATGAAAAAAAAAATCCTGTCGTTCAACTGAATTCTAAGCAGTCTCGGCATTTGAAGATATCATAAAAATTGAGCATGCAGATTGATTCGTGCGCTTGAGATCAAGAGATATATGATGGCATTTTATCCTTGAAGATCTTTCTCACCTGAAAAAAAAAATATTACAGACGTGGATGTGAATTTTTTTTTTAAACTTCATTACTGAACAATACTGAGTTAGATTTTTTTTATAAATACAGCAGACTTCAAGAACACCTTTGCAGAATACGTGGGACAAAGAAATGAATAACACGATGTCAAATTAATTTTGTAATTAGCTAAAATACTTGATTAAACTCCCTGTGGTCAATTATCTCTGTCGATTTTTTTTTCAATGCATATCATTGATCTTTAATTGATTTCCACTCATTAAAAATGTTTTTCTAGGATCACTATAAGCGTTGAAAAAAATTGAAAACGAAAAGAATGGGAAAATGAATTCATACCTGGAATGTTTTTCTGCCCCTTCGTGTTTTCCTGTGCCTTTATTGTAGATACACTGGAGCCGGAAATGGCGGCTTTCCAGGGGACGCCTCAGCGGAAGGCGCCGGATACGAACAGGCGGCTTCCGAGACCGGCTCAGCTGCTGACGACGGAAGTGGCGGCTTGAACGGCGACGAAATCCCCGGAACCCCGGGTACGGATTACCCAGTCTTGGCCCAGGTACCCGAAGACCTCACCTTTGAATGCTCCAGCCAACAGTACCCAGGTTACTACGCCGATGTTCAGAGCCAATGTCAGGTACGCTATTTGGTTTTCAAAATCTCTCCATTCACTTTGAAGATTGATTTTTTTCTTCAATTCTTTTCAAATTTTGAACGACGCATTTTGAATCAGTTTCTGAGGAATTGAAAAACTGCTGCGAAACGAAATTTTAAATGTTGATGAAGACAAAGCAATTCTTAGCTATCTGAAATCAAATTTGAATCGTATTCAATGAACCGATTACTTCATCGCTTTTCCAAGAATCCCACTCGAACGTTACTTTTTTTCACCCAAAAAAAAATTAAAATGTAACGGGAAGTTGAATATAGGCAGAAGGGGAAGAATCTTCGCAAACTGAATCAAATCCGTGTCGATTTAAAATCTTTTACGGGGGAAATAACTCTTTTTTTTTACCGAATATAGAGGATGAAATTTTTCGAATCTATGGAAACTGTTACGAAAGAGAAATTCAAAACAACAGAAACGGTGGCCGCTTTTTCTTAACTTCGAGTCATCTCAGATTCAATGAATCTGCCTCAACGTTCATTAAAAAAAATGGTAGGATATAATATAAATTCAGATGCAAGAGAAAAAAAAACGAAAAGCCAGTGATGAAAAAAACAAAAAAAGGGACAGAACACGAGCATCATCTTTCAATCTTTTCAAGAAAGTGTCGGAAGACACGCGTAAAAATTCCGGAATCCACTGGAAACCCGTTGCGTCGAAACGGTTTTCGAATTTCGTTGCGTTCAAGGCTTTCTTTGCCTGTTATTAGAATTTCGCCTATATTTCCCAGATATATATATTTCATCCTTTAAAAGAAAAAAAATTGAATTTTCATTCTTGCTTTTTTGTGTGTGCCCCAGTAAAATGGTGTCGTGTCGAAAACCCGGTTTTGATTGACGGGCTGTTACTGAAGAAGGATCGTTTCGCTGAATGAGATTCCATCACAGACGCGATCTCTGATCCCCATTTGATGAGTCTTTTCATTTTTTCGTTTTGTTTTTCTAGTCTAAAGTTACTTGCATCAATCCATCACTGGACGTAATCCTCTCGTAATCCTCAGTCATTATCAGTATCAAGCACGTGCTTGGCGGGAAAGCAGAAGACAAACAAAGTCTCCAATGATTTCCGAACCCCTTCTTTTTTTTTATATTTCACATAGGGATGCTCGCAATTTACGTCTGAGTACTGCTATTTCACGATCCCGAGGTGATTTACAGCAAAATAATGATTCCCGGTCACGAAATCCTAACGCCCTATAATTGCCTGCCAATTTTCAACCTGCTGAAACGCTTGGAATGATGACGGATTTTCACTCCGAGAAATTTTTGTTCCTTCTCCTTTTTTGGGCAAAATTTTGGGCTTTATTATCGAATGCATCAATTTAACTGCTGATTTCAAGGAGAGAGCACGGATTTTTCTGGGTTGAGGGAGAGAAGAATTTTCTTGCTTATTTCACGTTTTTAGAAGGTATTTCGAAATTAAATCCACGGGATGATGCAGGATTTTTTTTAAATAAAAATAATTAGGTTTATCTCTATAAAATAGTCCCTCACATAATCTTAGTCTGTTTCTTCTGGGATCAAACCTTTTGCTCGTGACTTATATGTTTTAAATGCGTGGAAATCAAAAGTTGAAAAAATCGTGTTCTTCAGACATATTCATAGGAATATGTTTTACCTTCTGCAAAGTGCCTATATTTCTATCTTTTGTCTGGCATGCACTTATATTAATTTTACTTTTGAATAACTTTGAATAATGTATGAATAGTTTATTGATAAACAGAGTCCATCTCAGTTTGCAAAATTTTGTATTTTGCTTCATTTTATTAGACATATGACTATATACATATATCATTAAAGTACATTACATCTCTAATTTTTGTGCATACAATTTTTACAAATGTTTTCATTTTTAATCTGTCAGCTGCGTAT